ACCATGCCAATCCCTCCGAGAGTTGTCATGACAGAAATACAGATAATCTTTGCACGGTACACACAAGGATACCAGGAAGACTCGTTCATCTTAGAATAGCAGTACCACGACTAAAATGATGATAAAGACAACTTCACTGTGCACATTTTTTATAGAAGGATAAATGTACACGTTAATAAAAAAAACTAAATTCACATTTCTGCTTTTAAGCCATTAGAAATTCCTTACCCCTTAAGAGTTCCATTATAAATGCATTACTGTAAATGCATTTTTTGTTTCCAGTGATAATTTTTTTTTGTTCACCCTGAATGCAAAAGCGAAAAATGCAATGTTTAATGTACAGTTAGTGGGAGCAGATTGTGGACCAATGAGATTTCACATGGGTGGCGCTACACAGCAGAAATAGAACCAAAGGTATCGATAAATTGTACTCTCGTCGCGGTCACGGCAGATTACTGTTATCACTTTTCACTTTGTTACAATGTAACCTTAAAAGCATCAGTAACCATTTTATCCTCAAGACATAATTAACTATTTTTCGCTTTCCAGCCTTGCCCACATGCCGACCAGATGAGTTCCAATGTGGTGACGGATCTTGCATCCATGGCAGCCGGCAGTGCAACCACGTATATGACTGCAAAGATTTGAGTGATGAGCTGGGCTGTGTTAATGGTGAACCATACAAATTATGCTCTTTACACAAAACTGATGCTTCAGGTGTTATTCTGATGTGTTTAACTTAAATTTCTCCTTTTTGATTTTCAGCAACCCATTGTGAGCCACCACACAGGTTTAAGTGCCGCAGTGGTGAATGCATCAGCATGGAAAAAGTTTGCAACAAGCAACGGGACTGTCGAGATTGGTCCGACGAGCCATTACGAGAATGTGGTAAGTAAAAACGGCTTTCAAGGAGTTGCACTGCTTAGAATTACGTCAAAAACCAACCTATGCTACAATATGTGATTTTCAAATTCACAGATTCTAACGAGTGTCTTTACAACAACGGGGGTTGCTCTCATATCTGTAATGACCTAAAGATTGGTTACGAGTGCCTCTGTCCTACTGGCTTCCGGTTGGTGGACAAGAGACGTTGTGAAGGTAAGAAACTGAAATTAGTTCTCATACTCAATCATCTGGAAATCTGGTCATAGTACGTTTCACAGACCTTGGTCCAGATCCAGTTCAAAGAATGATTTCATTTGTACTTTAAACTTATTTGCTTTTTCTGAGCTGGAAATAAGGATATAGTTTGTTCAGTAAGTCCATGCTGTTGCTGCCTGCCATGATTCAGTGGTGTTATGGACACCGTTCTGAAGCAACAGAATGACTATTTAACTTCAAGCCTACATATTTGTTTGATTTCTTCAGACATTGATGAGTGCGCCAACCCAGACACCTGCAGCCAAATCTGCGTCAACCTGATGGGTAGTTACAAGTGTGAGTGCGAGGATGGCTACCAGATGGACCCAGCCAGCAAGACTTGCAAAGCTATTGGTACAGCTTTTAAACTTCCAAATAGTCATTTCCCAATTCCCATACTTACATACTGATAGACTCATACTCACAAACATGGTTCTGTAGGAACCATCGCCTACCTATTTTTCACCAATCGCCATGAGGTCAGGAAGATGACTCTGGATCGCAGCGAGTATACACGTGTTATTCCCCGCCTGAAGAACGTTGTGGCACTGGATATGAATGTTGCTTCCAGGGAGATCTACTGGTCGGATTTATCCCTCAAAAAAATATACAGGTAAATCTTTGGACTCATGGTGAATCTTGAGTCTCAGTTGCTTCTTACCCAACCGAGCTGCCTGATGTCATATTTTGTCTTTCTTTCCCAGAGCACCAATGGATACAGCA